TTACGTCAGAGAGGAAAATTCGCAATCTCTCATCTCTTGATTTGGAAGCTAAGGAGTGCTTCCCTAAGAACCGGAAAAAAAGGCCGAAAAACAACTCCATCTACATCGATGTTGTCCTTTCCCTGAGATTGTCGTATAATACGATTAACATAAGCAATAATAGTGAAAATAAATAGAAGAAAAAGTGAGAGTAAACAATGTCAAGGGCAATGTATCCATGCATGCATTGTGGGAGAGTTGAAGGTGTGGGCACTTTCCACACTGAGTCTTTACCCAATCTCTGAAAGCACATGTGTAATATGATGAGTTTTTACCTTTGCTGCAAAATCCAATTATAAGAAACAACAAGGAAGCAAACACTTCAAACAGTTCATAAAGAAATAACAATGTTTCTGAATCTAAAATAGTTTTTACCTTTGCTGCAGAGAGAGCCCAGATGGCAAACCGTAATATTAGCTCCCATTCTTTTTTTTTATTATTTTTTTTTTCTGAGGAAGAAAAGTGATTACAGGTTAGAACACTCCCAGCTGGCATAAACGGCCCCGATTATTTTTTCATGCAACTTAACCCCAGAACAGGCAATTATGCCCCTGTCAAGTCCTTCAAGATATAGTCCTCTGGAGAAATCGAGGGGGCAGCCTCCGGCATCTGTGACCACTCCACCAGCCTCCTGGACGAGAAGAACACCAGCCGCATGGTCCCATATCTTCTCCTTGTAACCGGCCCTTGCAAATCTCATGTATATTTCGGCCTCCCCTCGAGCTATGGCCGCGTATTTGACCATGCTGTACACTCGCAAGGGCTTGTTCCTGCAATTTTTTTTAATTAAGAACGAGTATTAATTATGTGCTTTTTTCTTTTTTTTTACTAAAAGAAAGGAACAAGAAGAGCTGATGTAATTTGATAAATTGAAAAATGGAAAATGAACAAGAAAGCAGAGTTTCGTTTTCACAGAGTTGAACAAGAAGGGCTTGTTCCTGTAATTATTTAATTAAGTGCGACTATTATTTGAAAAATGGAAAATGCGCAAGAAAACGGGAGTTAAATAAAAGTTTTTACAGTGTTATGTATGAGCTATTTAAACTATAAAATAAAACATGAAAAAAGCAGCTCTGTATTGCAACTTGAGTAGAGTATCATTTCATCCCCAAGCATGTCCAGCTAGAGAAAAATCATTCTCGGTGAAAATCATCATACAACTCATCATTACGACACATTTTGCTTTCTGAGATTTCAGTAATCACGCATATTTTCTGACCAGCAATCATGTCCAGTACTACTTCCACACATGAAATCGAGTTTCATTATTTTCATGCAGTATCCAATCACAAACCTCAAAATTCATCGTTTCATTTGTATATTTAATGCTATAAACCAATCACTACCCTTACCTCTTTACACAATTAACAAAAAAGGTTTCGAAGTTGACTATGACAACATACAGTAGCCATGGATAAAAATTTTCGAAGTGTCCTTTTACCTCAACCCAATCGTGTTAGCAACGCCAGCTGTAAGCGAGTGATTCGTGTTCGTTTTCTCAACCGGCTCACAAAATGTCGCCATGGCCGGGTCATCAACTTCCGAAACCTTCACAACCCTCGCACTATTCGGCCAATCGAACATCTCGTCAGATTTCACCAGAGGCTGCATCCAGGCCTTCCCGCTGCCTCCCCACGTGTACATCACGCACCCCGCCTCACCAGACAAAACCCCCGACCTATTATTATACTCATTCAGACCATCTTTGCTCACCGAATAATTCGGGCACCCAAGGACTCCGACCACAACCCGCCCATCATCGATCATGGCAAGGGCAATGGCGTACTGATCTCCCCGGACAAACCCAAGGGTGCCATCAACTGGGTCGAGGACCCAATGGCGGCCCAATGGGCCCCCGCGTGAGCTGCATCGGCTGATGGTGTCAAGGATATCAGATGGGCCAAGCGGGCTTTTGGGCCCTTGGAGACCGAACCGCGGGGCCTGATCTAGGCAATCGTTCACTGCATTGACGACGTTGGATAGTAGAGATGAGGACTCGGATTTGGATAGGGTTTGGATGTCTTCTTCGGCAATTATTGAGATGTTTTGGCTGCCGAAGGCTCTCGAGAGCAACCAGCTCACGGTGGCCTGGACACTCCAGTCTGTAAATTGGGGAGAGAAAAGGGGGAAATAATTTAGTTAGTTATGATAGATAAAGTATAATTGGCCCAAAAATGAGTGGGACTCAGAAACTGAATGGAAAACATTAAATCAAGCCAAAGAAAGCAAGTAGTGGATCATGACTCGAACATTTTTTGCGTAGCTGCATGATCAAGAATCATAAGAGTTTGTGCATTCGTAGAAAAATAGGCTGTGCTTCAATACGGTCCAAATTCGAAAGGTACAGGGTTTTGGGACGAATTATAAAAATAATTACTGGAGGATTTGCCAAATACTCTATAAAGAAGTGGTCCTTGATGTCTATTAATTCCTGGAAAGAGCTGGAAACTCAGAGACACTTATGCAAACCGTAAAAAGTAAAAAGCTACCATTTATAACATGGCAAAGTTCTGCATAAACTTACTACAATTTCACAACATTGGCAAGAGCTATGATGAATTCCACTCGCAAGATCACCAATATAATATCATCCAATACACTCTCAAATACTCTATTTAATAATAAAACAAGATTATGTGAAAACCAAAATTGTGCAATTCAGTCTTTATAAAATTTGCCGACAATTGCCAATCATCAAGTGAAGTCTTCTTCTTCGTAAGTCGTAACGGAAAATTCGATCCTACAAGTCTGTACAGTGCCCACAGTCCCCACACCTTCAGTTATACCATTGATCACAATTACACACACTTAATCACAAGGTAAAAAACCCCCATGTGACTGCACACACCTGTATGGTCGAATTTTCCCTTGAGAACAAACTAGCAAAAACAGAACAGAAGCAATACAACTGTCTCCCATCAAATCAACACTGAAACATGATAAACCCAAAAACGAAAAACAGATATAATGCAATCAATCACCACAAGACCAAAGAAAAAAAAAAGATAAAAACGGAACAAATGCAGACCTAATCGAAATTCCAAAATTGGGATGACCTAATAGCAAAAAAACACTGCCAATCGTCCAAGCATAAAAGCCGAAAAATAAAATAAAAAAAAAAGCACAAAAAAAAAAATTAAAGGAATCAGAGTACCTGCAACAGTAACTAGTGAATCATCGTCTTTGGACTTAACCTGATCAGAATCCGTCGAAATCAGTTGTCTCTGCACCTTCTCACAGAGCGAGCAGGCCATGTGGACCACCCTCACGGCCACATTCACCTCTTCGGAGTAATTCCCGTCCGCCATTAATTTCTGCGCGAGCTCGAATTTTTCGAATGTTCGATTGGAATCAAACGGCCCAGATTGGGAATTTGCGGTCCGATTTTCTGGCGAGGCCCAGCCCGAAGCTCTATGTGGGTTTTGTTTTTGTGGCGCATAGGTGGAGAGCGTGAACCTGTACGAGAAGTGTGTGCAGATTCATCATTGGGTTTTTCCTTTGGTTCTTTTTTTAGTTTCTTAGGTTTTTTGTTTTTTTCCTCTACGTTGAACAGAGGGTTTGGAAAAAGGGGTGGTGGTCCTGGTGGAAAAGCTGTTTTCCCATTTTAACCTTGGGCCTTACAAAGGTTTGTACAATTTTGGGTGGGGCTTAAATAGATGAAGCAGCCCAATTTCATCCCACAAAGTTTGCAGCCCAATTTCATCCCACAAAATAGGACGGATTAACCTATCTGACGTTACTGTTTCATACAAATTTTATATACTAAAAACCAAACAATTATATATTCATACTTTATCAATATAAATGCATATATTAATACCAACATATCACATTTCAAAAAACAATATTAACAAAAGTATGACATTTCATAATCTAAGTATGGCTTTGTTGACAAAAAAGCAACGCTTAAAAAAACCCTCTGTCTTCCTCTGCTCGTCCAAAAAGAAAAAATTTCAAATCCGTCGTCGTTGTCTCTCCCCCACCCGTCGATTTAGGTCTGCCGCTGCACTATCCGAGTCGGGGCTGGGGGGCCCTCTTTTCCGCCTGTTCTGAGGCCTTGCGGAAGTATGGTCGAGCTAGCCTGGCTACCCGAGACAGCATACGAGCTACTTCCAATAGCATAAAAATCTAACAAAGTCGCAAACCAGAACCTCAATCCCGAAAATTGAGGCCACTCGTGCCGCCTAGACGGATTTGATGAAGAATCTGCTCTCGATTCATATATGGACTCCGAAAAATCATCCACGCAGGGAAAGGAGGGGAGCCGCCGGAAAAGCCACCAATGACACACGCCAGTGACAGCGACAGATCCAGAAATTTTTGCGAGCCAGGGCAAAAAATTGTTCGAAGAAATTTTTAACCATATTGCACAAAATACTTATATTAACAATTAAATAAATCGTTGAAATAATCGGGTGTTGAGGGGTTCCCTATTTAATTTGCTTTTGACTTGATACTAAAAAATGAAATTGAGAATAAGGTTTGGTTATTTTATTTTGCGTTTTTATTGTTATTAAGAAATTTACCAAAAATATTTTATAATCCTTTTTCTTTCATTTTTTTAATAAAAAATAAATAAATTATTTTGAAATATAATTTATTAATTTAAGAAAAGCCTAAATGTCATCGTTTTTGTTCTTGTTATTTTATAAAGATTTTCTTATGAATTATCTTCTTATAGCTAAATATAGAGTTTTTCATTATCAATTTTCCAACGCTTTGTAATTCTATATGTTAATTCCTAAGGATTCGAAATAGTCCATACAAATATTAATCTTTATCCAGAACTTTCAAATTTAAACGCGTGGGTATCTTAGATTGTAAATATATTTTAAAAGTCAATAACATTTGTATATATTATCAACTTTTATATATGATAGCTTAAATTAGTCATATTTTACAATATGTAATCTGACATTCATATTTTATATATAAATTAAAATAATTATATCTATCTGATCTCTATCAATAAAAATTTAAATATTTATCAATTATAATTGAAAAACAATAAATTGATCTATCAAACTTATTATATGGCATAAGTACTAAAAATGTTATAATGTAATCTATATATATATATATAATTGTTGGCAAGCTTCAATAAATCTTATTCAGCCAGCAATTAATAATACTATGAGTTTATTTAATAAAAATATGTATTCATTTAATAAAAATATGTCCACCATTTAATAAAAATATGTAACTTTCAGTTACACAATTTATTTTGATAGGTCCCATTTTGGATGGTACCCATTTCTAAAACCTTTTTTTATGTCTGAAATACAAAATATTTTTGTTTTTATTTTGATATTATATATCTTTTGCTATTACAGAAATACATATTTCACAATTAATTAAGAATGACTACAGATATCTCTATTTTCTATTGCAGTCATACAACAACAAAAAAATATTTTTTTGGATATTACAAAGATATTTAAAAAATCAAATCCCAGAGTCATGAGTCGAAGGAGTTTAACAATAATGATTTGTTGTGATAAGATTTCTGACGATAGGAAAACCACGAATGTTGTATATAAAGAAATGTTTAATAATATTTAGATTCTCATTTTTAAATTATTTATTTTCTCATTTATTAAGTTATGATTTTTATTTTAATCTATATTTTTAATTACTCTCTCTTCTATTATATCGCTTATCGTGCAAATGCACGGGTAAAACTAGTATCCTCGAATCTGACCGGTGAGGTGCATCAATTTAAATAAAAACAATAATGTTATTTTGTAAAACTTATTTAAAGTTTTAAAATAAAAACTTGTATTAATATTTTTACACATATTAAATAAAAAATTTTGATTAATACATATTAACTATGTTAGCACAAAAAATTGAGCCTAGGCTGGCCTATATATGTGTCCGCCCTTGGCCAGAGGGCTCCCTAAAGGGGTCCAAAAGCGCACCGAGCCGTACCCTTGGACACGACAACAGAGGAGCATGAACCCATACTCACCGACGACCGGCGAATTCAGGAGGCTAAGGGCCCGACTCTGATGACCGGCGACCCGACCTTGGCCGTGGAGGGTCTGTTAGGTGAAGGGGAGATCTTAGTTTATTTGTATATTAGATGTGCGTTTTTTCGTTTTTCGTGTGTCAGTCAATTAATCCTTACCCAAATATGAATTATCAACCTATTAAAGTGTAGTACAATTATTGCTTACCAACTTATAACAGTCAATTAATCAGTTTTAACTTGAAAATTATTTCATGAGATCAATATTAAGGTTTTTTTTTTATGAAAACAAAATAAAAAATAAAAATTCAACTCATCTAGCTCTATAGTCAACTAATCGTGGTCGTGCATGTATAAAAGCTCATCATGGACAATACACCGTCAGAATTTTGATTCAATGTACCAAATCAAATTTAGTACTGTTTGTGTATTTCCAGTTTTGAGTTTTTACACGTATAATTTATATAGTTAAAAAATAAAATAAAATAAAGCTGTATCAATAATTAGTTAACTAAATTAATAGACATATTAATTTCAAGTATTACAAGATTTTACACAAACAGTACTAAATTAGTTAACTAATTATAGAGTAACTAAATTAATAGACATATTACAAGAGAAAAAAAAATGTCAGAGATCGATTTTCAAGATTTTTTCGCTCCTTATAAAATGAGAAATTGACATTTCAAAGTAAGGTTTGTTGAGCTGCGTATGTGGAATTGGAAATAACTAAACATTTTGTGGTTAAAAATTTGCAAAGTAATATGATATGCATTAATGAGCAATAAATTGACCTTTGAATTAGATAGTTATTTTTTTTTTCTCCTTTTCCAACCCTCAAAATAAAATAAAATAAATAAAATAAAAATTAAATGTCACTGTGTACATATTTTCCTTCTTCCTCACGATCAAGTTAAGGGAACATGTGCTGTTAGGTGGATGATCCATGCCTTTGTCACAGTGAAAAATTAATTCCTATGTGTCCCAAGACTCCCAACAAACTTAAATTTGTTAATTTGGGAAAAAAAAAATAACTAATCTACATCTTTAAAAAAAATGCTATAAAATCTCATAATGTTTATTTAGAATATAACATTTCCAATATAAAAAAATATGCATCTAAATTAAATGTTTTAGTATCTATTTATTTTAAATATTTAATACATACCAAGATTTCGAGATTTCTGAATGTCATACTCACGCTGGAAAACGAGAACTCTAGAAATCATATAACAATATCTTAATAACTAAGATATATGTGCTTTTAATTCTGTTTGATTTATACTTTTCATACAATAGGACCAGAAGAAAAGTCTTATCACATGGACTGAACATTGCGTAGAATGTAGATGTTGATAGGCATTTCTAACTTCATTAAACACAACAATTACCAAACCAACCGTGTTTGAAGCTCACGGACTCGTACTCTCAGATATTAATTATTCATACATATAAAATAATATCTGCAAATTACTTAATAATAATAATAACAATTTAATTTTTTTTATTTAATTGATTTCTCTTTGTGCATGTAGTACTGATTCATATTTTTCACTCCATGAATTAACCACATGCTTATAATAACTAAAACTCATATTCGAAATAAGATATATATGTGGAAATATGATGTATCAATAATTCAATGTAGAAGTGTGTAAACCAAAATTGGATCCAAGTTCGAGTTTGAATTCAAGCTTTAATGAGCCAATAAATAAGTTCGAGTTTCGCTTGTTTATCAATATTAATGAACTAAAGGTTGAACCTTAACGATTCCGAATTATAAAAAGAATTACATAAAAATCATTATTTTGTATCTTAATTTGTCATCTCATTAGCGACTCATTTCATTTAACAACTATATCTGTCTCCATTTATTTTGGGCTAATATAAAGTGGGGCATGAAGTAATTTAATTTTGTCATATATTCTATATAGTAGTACATAGCTAAAAAGCTTAATAGAAGTATTAAATAAATGGTTTTTCAGATAAAACTATAAAGCAGGCAACGAGTATGGCTCTTTTCAGCTCCCTTAAATGAAGTTGGCCTAGACCAGAATGACCACAAAGTTCTTCACTCTCCTCAGAAAAAAAAAGTAATAAAAAAAAAGATCTTCCTTTAGTTTTCTGATTAAATTTAGCTTATATATATCTTAAAGAAAAAAAAAAAAAAAAATCTCTCTATATTTATACATTTATATTTCAAGTTTGATGGTTTGCTTCTGTTTTCTGGTGGATCAGAAAAACGTGGTGGTTCGCCGGAAGCCGGTGGCCGGAATGTGCTCCCGGTGCCGGCACGGGGCCACCGTGGCCGACATGCAAACGCTGACGAGGTTTTGTTACATACCATTTTATTGGAAATCGTGGAAAGCCATCACTTGTTCCTTTTGTGGGACTATTCTTAAATCTTACCGCTGATTTTTTTTTTTTTTTTTTTC